TGTGTGTGTGTGTGTGTTTGTATTATTCAAATTACTTAAAAGATAAGGGAGAATTTTTGTTTGATGTAAAAAAACATTTTCTTGGTATCTTGTATATATTTTTCTTTTCTCATTTTATGCTAAAATTCAAAAGATCACCGTGTGAAATTAGTTGTGATGAAGCATTATTTTTATTTAAGCCATGGAAGAATGACTGTGTATGATTGCAGGCAAATATATGTGGAAAAATTAACCAGAAACTCCTTCCTGGGTTTTTATTGTAGTTACTGTTACTCAATACTTGTCAATACAGGAGTTAAGACTTCCTCTTTAACAGGTTTTTATTTGCGTATCCAATCTAATCGAAGTACCACCATTACTCTGGTTCCCAAGCTAGTAACCTAGAACTCATCTTAGTCACCTTCCTCTCCCTAACTGTCACCCCACCCCATCAGTTCATTACCAGGTCCTGTCATCTTACCTTGTAAATTTGTCTACTTCTTTTCACTCACCACGTTCCTCATCTAAGCTGTCATCAGCACTTTTTGCCTGCATTTCTGCAGTTGCTTCCTAACTGGTGTTCCTGCTACTCTGGCCCTCCTAATTCATTCTTTATGCTACAGGCAGAATTCTCTTTTCTGAAATGCAGTTTTAACCAAGGCAATCCACCTACCCCCAGACTCATCTCTAGCTTAAAACATTTTAATGGTTTTTCATTGCTCTTATGATGAAAACAAAAATATTTTATGTGACCTATGAGATCACATATTAGGGCCACTATTTATAGGATAATTCTGAACATTAAAAGAGTTAATGTCTCAAAACATTAAAACATTGGCTGGACATCACCTTAAAAAGCACTCAATTCTCAATTAAAAAAAAGTTTAAAAAAAAAAAAGCACTTAATAGAAGTTGGTTATTATTATTACTGGTTAGTCTCATTGTGCACCATGTTTCACTTTCTGTTCTACCCTCATTGCCCTTTAAGTACTGGAGTAAGTGAGAAATAAAAGTGCTGCTTCCACCATAGCAATCTTTGTTCATGCTGTTTCTTTGGCTTGAAATACCTTTCCTGTTCATCACCTAGTTAATTCCTCGTTGCCTTTCAGATCTCAGCTCATTTATCATTTCCTCAGGGAAGCATTCTCTGATTTCTGTCACAGACTGAGACCTGCTGTTAAACATTATCACATAAACACATATCCTACTTAGCATTGAACATCTTTGTAATTTCATATATATTTGTTTGATTAATGAAGACCCTCTAGATTGTAAACTTCATGAGGAAAGGAATTGTGTTTTTGTTGTCATCACTCAACTTTGTATTCCTTATGTCTCATACAGTGTCTGGCACATAGTAGGTGCTCAATAAATCTGCTGACAGAATAAAATGAATGGATGAGGTATCAAGGATATTTTTCAGGTATTGAGTTCTTCCTCTCAGCTGGATTGGGGATAACATAGGCATAAAAGTAGGCAGTGGTAGTTATTAAAAGGGACAGACCCCTTGAGTCCGTAGAGAAAGAAAAAGTAGGGAATGGAGAAATTTGCCATACTATGTATTGTTTTGAATTTTGAATATCTGAAATTCTAGTTGACTTATAACAAATAATCACAAACAGACAATTAGCACATCACTTCACACAACTGCTACAGTTCCAGAAAGTCAGCTGGCTTTCATTGTAACTCATGGTGTTGTGGCTGTTGAGAGCTGCCAGTCCTGTCAGCTAAAAAGAATGGAAATAAGGCCAAAAGAGTAGTGACTGAAATAATTTCCAATTTTAAGAAATTGGTACACAAGATCAGTTGTGCCTAATTTCTTCAAATGTAAACAGTCTCATTTTAGCTTGCACATAGAAATGCTAAGGAGAGTAAAAATCTGAGCTATGTTTCAATTTCCTTTTAGAATAAAATACCAAAAGTTGGAATTATATAGGATATCGAGAAACACTAAGGCAGTACTGTTTTTAAAATACTAATTTCTTCATTAAGTTATCAGATTTGATATTTTAAAATATTTTTGCTGCTTTTTTGAGAAGTACTAAAATTAAGGTAACATGAAGCAAGTATGTAAGCATGATGGTTTTTATAAATCATTATTATCTAATAGATCATCATAAAGTGGAGGGAAATTCACATTATTGTTACAATATGGAAATTTAACATATGTGCTGCCAACACTACTGTGTAGTTTTGATAGGTTTGAGAATTTGAAACTCTTTTATGAGAAGAATTTTAAGGGGTATGAAATCAACTGAATGTCTTTTTTTCTGTTTGTATAATATGATGATTTTTTGGTCTTAGAAGAAAATGTATCACTAAATCACCAAGAAGAGTAATCTGGGTTTTAAAAGATTCTGAAAACATTTAGACAAAAAGGCAATACTAAATAACTTACACTACATTAACTTTTATTCTCACTTTGCTTGTGTCATCAATCAAAAGTCAATTTATTCTTTCCAAGAAGTGATACTAAACCAATTGAATGGTAAGTAAATTTCTCATTCTTGACTTTAATTCTTCACTGTTTGTGTGAAGACATAGTTGATCGTTTAGGTGAAGATACTTCGGTGTTTTGGAGGTTAGCAGAATATAGTGAGGTAACTAACCATCTTGCAACCATTTACCAGAATTGCTGCGAACTCAAATACTGAATCACAACTGTAATGAAGATGAAATGAGAATTAAAAAATAAAAAGACACATGAATGAAGAGTTAAATAAATAGAGATCAGAATTATCCCTGAATGATATAGGTCAAATAAATGTATAAGGGTGTAGTCAAAGTCCATCTTTCACAATATTTAAAACCAATTAAAATAGATGTATAGTATAATCAGAGCTGGATCTTTTAAAGGTAACCATAGTGAACAAATCCAGGGCAATGTAATAATGTTGAACAAAACTGCAATAATTAAGCACGTGAGAGAAATCGATGACAAGGAATTCACTTGGTGTATCATGAATTAAAATCTAAAGCACAAAATTGAAATGGACAACATTTCAATTTAATGTATAAAAATTGGTACATGCAGAAATTCATTATTCAATAAATAATATGGCTACAAAAGAATGTTGGACTCTTATTAAGGTTCTAATTTCGACTTGAAAACTGACACTTGCTGTTATTGGAGATATTTTATTGGCATAACAATAATTTTGTGGCATCCTAGCATTTTGTCTGAAAAAATATACTTGCTTTATAATTCTTATTAGCATACTTAGCATAGGTATGATCAGTTGGTGCTTTCTTCACTCTGGTTTATTCTCACTTTCTCCATTCCTTGCAGTTGAACAAGAGATTTTCCGTACAGAACTTTAGAGCTATGAAGGCAAAAGAGCTCTGAAGAGAGATACAGAATGAGCAAGCTAAGCAACTTTTTCATATCCTTTTCCTATAAATTTCTAGAACTTTAGGCATTCCCATATTATCAGTATAAAAAAACATGTCAAGGCCAAGTATATCTTTATTAAAAGTGGTAGGTTTTTTGCTGCATTAGCACAGATATTTGAGACTACCTGAACATGTATGTATGCCTTTCCTATAATTTAGTAGGGGTCCATTTAATACTTTGCAATTTTTACGTCTTTAATAAGTCCCCTCCTGCTTTTTTTTTTACCTTCAGAATTCAGTTTCTTGTTGATATATTTTGCTGAGTAGGCTTCAGCTTTTATTTTATTTTGATCCACTTTTTGTGCAGTTCCATTAATATGCCCGGAGGCCATTATAATGTGACCCATTTTAGAAACTGAAGCACAAGGAATATAAAAATACACACTGGTGATGTTATATTTTTCCTTTCTACTCATGCCATCATAATTGCAGTGCATATCATTAAGTCAAAGAATAAAATCATGGCATCTTAAGGGTTAAAACTTGTTCTGTAGCTAAACCTCCCACCCAGAACAATCCAGAATGCTTAACAACTTACAGCTAAAATTCTTTACTATGAGAAAACATACTACTTCATAAACCTTTCTGTTTTAAGTAGTTCTAATTGACCTTTTTTTTTCCCTTTCTTGTTAGAGAATTGAAATATATCTCTAGGACAGATTGGTCCTACATTTTTCATTCATATTAGCAGAAGAACTATTATATCTCCTAACAAATCTTCTCTGTTCTAGGCTTAACACCCCTGGTCCTTTGTTCCTCAAAAGACAATTTCCAGAGTCTTCATCATTATTTGTCATTTGGATGGACCCCAGTTTGCCACGTCCATCTTAAATTGTGGTCACTTATGTGAGTTAGGAAGCTTTCTGTCTAT